TTTTTAAATAGGCAGAAGGAACATGATATAGATCAGAAACTTGGATTCTTGTAATGAAAGCAAATTAAATCTTTTCTTTTTATTAATCTTACTTTATCTTTAAAATAACCATTTATAATAGTAATAGTAGCAATGTACTGAGTGATTAGAGAGTGTGAAAAGTGAAATTAGTGACAATAATGTCACAAGGGTAGGAGGGAGAAACTAGGAGAATGGCAGTGTCATAAAGTTCCTATTCTACAGGTAACGTGGTACAGTCTTATTTGAAGGTGGACTTAGATTAGTTTAAAATGTATATTGTGAAGTTGAGGACAACTACTAAAAAAAAAAAAAAACACTAAAAAAAAAAGTTTAAAAAATAAAACCATCACTTTGGAGGCTCAGCTACTTTTACACCATGAAATATCTGCACCTGAGCTTGGGGAAGAGTTATGAATGTTGACACAGGGAAGTGAAGAAAAGGTTGTGGAATGAAAGAGATCCTACCATACACAGGGGAAAACAGTGAGAAGTGATCAAGTGCCCTTTTCACAGAGCACGCAAACACACACACTCAAGTACTCTAGCTCATTAGGAAGAAATGTGCTCAGCCAGGACACATCTTATAATTCAGACAAAGGTCAAGTTGAAAAAGCAAACAGATGGCAGCTTCCAAAACACATCCCCTGTTTGGTTTTGAGTGTGTTGACATTTGAGGACAGAAATGTGGGGTGCTGGTCTCACACCCTAATTACAGCAGCTAAATAAATACTCAAATGTACAATAAATAAATAAATAAATGCTCAAATGAGGTGACACTTGAACCTGCAATCAAAAGCAAAAGCCACATTTTTTTAGTGAGTTTTCACTAGTGCATTAGTACTGGTCAGAAAGGGGTAAATAATTGAGTTGCAGCCTCACAGAGAACCTCAAATCCTCCTAGCAAGGTGAGGAGTCAGAAGAAATGAGAATAAAAACCAGAAGTTAATTTTAGCAGTTTTATGTCCATTTGATAAAATAAGAAGGAACGTCTGCAATGTGATAGAGAAATGTTGACATCCTGGTAATGTCCTTTGAACCATGAAGGTTTTGGATTCATTTTCAAAGAAAAAAATATGCCCAAGATCGTGTAGTTTCTCATCACATTTTCTTTTGCCTTTTCTTTGCCTCTCATGCCTTGCAAACTCAAAGCTGCCCCCATTAGGGCCTGTGAGGCTCCCAAGGGCTCTTTCTGTTTTTAAAGAAAAGCAAATGAAAACTGCTGCTCCCTTCAGGAGAGGGGCTCCTATATTCTGTGAAGCAAAACAAATGCCAAGGTCACCTCCTATCTGTTGTTACTTATTTCAGCTTTCATGGGTATCTGAATATTGTGGGGTGATTTTCTGATACATTGATATGATAAATTTCATCAAAAGGGGCAACAAAAAAACCTGAACAATAAAAACTACAAATACATGAGTGGAAAACCAGCTCTCATTTAATGTTTTCAAACCCAGGAAATCTTTAAGGTTCAAAACCAGCCCCCTTTAAGGTCTTCAAGCCCAGGAAAGCAGCTAAATTCTAAGAGGTGCGAACATCCCAGCTCCTCCCTGGTCCTTGGCCAACTCCCGAAGGAGCCGTTGCACAATCTCAGAAGGACTTCTCCACACCCTGCATCATCCACGCCCAGACCTGGGCACTAGTCACCAGACTGTCACTGTTGCTTCTGATTTGAATAACTACAAGTGGATGACCAAGTTAAATTGTCAATAAATGAATGGCTTCCCTTGTGGGCTTACTCCAAACTCTAGACAATATCATATAAGTTAGTGCAAAAATGTGATCTATGATTTCATGGGCTGAGCAAACCTTGCTCACTATCCTCTGAGTAGCAGTCAGGGAAATCCTGAGCACATAGAAGTTTCCTCTTGCCTTGGTGTCAACAGTGCTCTGGGTCCTCAGAGGCCACTGTGGTCAGGTGACTGGTATGGATCAGTGCCTGGACCTGGTGCCATCACCAAGGGAGAAAGGCCATTCAAGGTTGTTTTTCAATTGCCCAGGAGGCCTCTCTGGTGACTTCCACTTTCACTAGCACTACAACCCCTGCAAGTTCCATCCAGGAGGCCAGGTGGAGGTCAGGGCTGAGACCCAGAGTGTCTATTAGTGCTATGAAGAGCTGAGGCCATAAGCCTCTAGCCTTCTGGTAAAGCTACTCCTCTATCTCTGGGCAAGCTCCCTTCCTCATTCTACCCAGGACCTGTGGTCATCCCAACACGTCCAATGTATATCTCCTCTGCACCCCTCATAGGGCAGGGGAACCTCTCTGTGTGCCTTCTGCACTGCATGAAATGACCAATGCTATGAAGCATTATCACAGGCCTCTGGATGCCTAAACATGTCTGGTTGCCTCTTCTACTCAAACACGTGAGTGTGGTCTCTGGTTTCTGTTCCATCTGCCCCTCTGCTCCTTCCCACTAACCTCCCCACAACTTAAGGACTATGTTTTACTTTCTTTCTTCTGGAAGGGGCTTCCCCTATATCATCCCTCCTCATCCTCCTGCCTACCCTCATTCTATAATGATGGAATGGCTGCAAGAAACTTGACCTACAAGTAAGGGGAAGGAACAAGTCATCACCTACTCTTTTCCAAGTACTTTCCTTTGGGTTTGCTTCCTCTGCTGCTGAGCTCCCTCTCTGACCAGTTCTTTCTGAGTGCTTGACAACAGTCCCATTTATCCTAGGTTCTATGTGCCCCAATCTGCACCACTCAGGGAAGAAAATAAATAACAAGTTTTTTTTTTAAAGTTTCACTGACTTTAGAGAAGAAGTAAATACCTACAAATTCATGAGAATTTTCCCCTTCCAAGATGGGGATCCCAGCAGATGTTAAAAAGCAAAGCCAACTCTCACCTATGTTTTTCTTTTTGTGAACATGTCTTTCTTGATGTTCTGGGACACACACACCTACTATACCTTCCTCTGCCCACATAGCCCTCAGATTATTTTCCCTCTCACATAAATAGCAAAATTACCCCCAGGTTGTACAGTGGCCATAGGATATTAATCATCAAGAATTATTCTGAGTCCAAAGCTAATGAAACTTAAAGCAAATGGGAGCATTCAAATTGGTCTGTTTCGCACAGATTTAAAAAGCAATAGAACTCAAAACCCCAAATAGATAAAACAAGGATTTTCAATGTATTGATCAGATATAGCTAAAGCAAAAACCAAGATATTACATTTATCAAATATATTGGCATGTTAATAATATAATCCAGAAAGGAATCAGCTAGGCAGCATTAGAATTTTTCAAATTGTTTTGAAAATACAAAGCTCCAAGGCACACTTTGAGTACATGCATGTGTATACACAAAGTTTGTGTGTTCATGTGTATATTTAGTTTGATAAACTGGGTTTGGAGATGAGTGCTTATATTTTTATCCAATTTACACATATTGAGTTCATCATGGGCATTTGAAAATTCAATTTGTTTTTAATGTGTTGCTGAGGTTCCAATTCACTGGGAAAAGGGTTATTTACAGTTTCAATAAAACCCAAGAAAGAAGACACAGTGCTATGCCTGAGTGGGTTCAAGAGAGTGGAAAAGCAGGAAGGATGGGCAGCAGCCCTCAGCCCAAGGAGTGAAAACTGAAGGGGAAGGTCCAGTCTGGCTTCTGCTTCTGAACCAGGTTAGGTACTCACTCTTATAACTTGGCCTAAAGAATGTTGGTCTCTGCATCCTTCATTCAAGAGACAGGTGTAGGTAGATCATGTCTCTCCCACATGCTCCCCTGTGGCCAGGGAAGCTTGAGAGGATGCTGTACAGAATATCCCCAAGGCCCATGTATTAAAGCTTGGTCCTTAGAGTGCTCTGTTGGGAGACAGTAGAACTTTTAAGAGATAGGGCCTAGTGAGAGATCTTTAGGTTACTGAGAACAAGCTCTTGAAGGGAATTATGGGACCCCAGCCTCTTCCCCTTCCTCTTCCTGCAGTGAAACAAGTGGTTCTGCTCCACTACATTCTCCAACCTTGCCATAGGTCCAAAAGTAATGTTGATAATCTGTCATGAACTGAAACCTTCAAAAATATAAACATTTTCTCTTTACAAATTGATTACCTCAAATATTTTGTTTTAGTGACAGAAAACTAATACATTTTTCTCTTCTCTTGGCTTAGGCAACTCTTCCCTGATCTTTGCCCTTCATCTCTCTAATTCTACGTGTCCTTCAAGGTCTGGTTCCAGAGCCCTCTCCACCTCATACCACAGTCACATTGCCACCACAAGGCACAATGCTGTGGTGTAATGATTTCTATTCTTCTCCCTGAATTTGTGAACTCCATATGGATAGCCCCTCATATCTATATCTCTAGTGCTTGGTATAGTGTCTGGCAAATAAGAAGCTCTGCTAATACATTTGCTAAGGGAAGGAACTGAAGCAGAAGGCCATCAGATTTCTGCATCACATTTCAGAGGCCTGTGATCTTCAGGCAGGGAGATGGCTTAATGCTACTGTGAACTACAATACAGATCTGGGCATGGATATGATGAAGAATAAAGGGTGGTTGCAGGAACAGTAAATTGCCAGTCCTATGCAGGACAAAGTGATTGATGTCAGAACAAAAACAAGGAAACCATGAGAGTAGACTGCTGCTAAGAACAGTGGCCTCCACAGGCCATTTGCTCCTCTGCACTAGGAGCAAGACTGGTAGTGGTGGTAGGATGGCGGGAGCATGCACACAGCTGCTGTCTGGATCAGATACCTGCAGGTGCTCTCCACACACTCGGGGTAGCAGCAATTGTGGCCAACACTGGCAACGGAGGAAGGAGGCGCACATTCCTGTCCACTGGGGCCTGTGGGTGTCCTGCCCTCCAGCTTCTCAATGAATACAACACGACTTTACTTGCCAGCATCTGTCTTCCAGGATAAAAGCATGTTCAAGGAGGCTATGGACACATGTCCTCAGCAGCCATTTCATCCTCTATTCATTACTGCTGCCCCAAATTTGTGAGGGCAAAGCTATGCAGGCAGATAAACACCTACCTAAGCTCTCTGCCTCCAGGGGCTATGGTTCCCGCTCAGAGGACACATCACCCTCTGCCCCGCTGCTGGCGCTGCGGTCTTCTTTTCGGGGGGCATTTCGCTCTTTGCTTGATTCAGAAGGGCCCTTGGCTCTGGTCTTTTCTTTCCTCTGCTGCTGTTTCTCAAGCTTTGACAGCTGATTAAAAAAAGAAAAAGAAGAAAGAATAGTTTACAAATGAGAATGCATTCCTAGATATCCAAGACAGCAGTTTCTTCCAGGTGGAAAGCATTGAGAAAGCTTTTGTCTGATACCTGGCACACCATGGCGGTTCAGATGCCAATGTAGACAAAATATGATCAGACGGGTCCCTGAATCATTAACACAGATGAGCCACAGGTGTGATCCTCCTCAGACCTTTTCCCTATCCATGATTCAACTTGGCATGTAGGATTTGGGGATGGCAACAGCCTCCCTCCCCAGACTCAGAAGAGCTCTGTAAGTGACAAAGTCCTGTCACTGCTTTCTTCAAGAATAAGCTCTATATTCTCACCAAGTTATCTTCCTGCTTACTGTTTTCTAAAGAGTGTTCAAAACACTCCACTAGTTGCTGAAGAGAACAGAAAAGTCTATGACATAAAGTACATTAAGCACATTGAACATCATCTCAGTTACTAGTTTGTTTTGTGAGGCTGAAGCCTGACTCACCCAGCTGGAGGGATCCTAGCAGGCCTGTGGTAGCTGCATGCAGACTGCTGGCCACAGAGCCTCCCCAGCTTCTTACTGTCCAGCTGGGGGACATGCTTCTGATGTCTAACCCAGTGGAACCTGGGCCCGTTTCTTCTCTGGATTTCTACCCAATGGGTTCAAATAAACCACAGACTAGACAGCGGAAAGAAACTTAGATCATCTCACAATCTGAGCAAGGCCACTCCAGAAAGCCCAACTGAGAAGCTTGTTTGAGAAGATTGGCCAAGTTTTGGTCCATGGGATTTTCTTGGACCAAAAAAGGCATCTGTAACAACGCCTGAGAGGCAATAACACCCAGTTCCATCTGCCTTCCAGACCAAGTTTGCAAACATTTTCTTGATCACAAAAAAAGAAGGAAACTTAAGGAGGGGCTGAGGACCCTCCTTGCTGGTCCCTGTCCTACATCCAAAGATATTAAAAAGAGTCATTTTACATAATTTTCCAAATCATTTCTTCTATATGGACAGACTTTGAGTTAAACCTTAGAGAGATGAACAGTTGATAGTTCTCAATTTGATCCAGAAAACCAATTCTCTTAATGATTGGTTTACGTAAGTATTACCTTTCCCAACCCCACTGGCCTGCAAAGATGCAATAAATAGCCAAGCTGCTTAATGTGCTAATCAATTAGATTTTGTGATAAAGACATCCCTTCACCTTTGACCCAGCAACTCTCCTCCCAGGTAACTACCCTGGATAAACTTCCCCTCCTGTGCACATGAAAGCTCATAAAAATGTGCACTGTAGGTTGCCTGTATTGGCTAAAACCTAGAAACATCACAAATGCCCATCAACATGAGGACAGATAAATACAATGTGGTATAGTCACATAAAGCAATACTGTAGAGTATCATAGTACTCCAATGTATCAAAATAGATGTCTTCAAAACCATACTGTTTAAAAACAAATTAAATTTCAGAAAGTTATTTTCTGTGGGATTTCATTTACACAAAACACTACACATTGCTAACAAGCTGATGCAAATGCAATGTGGACTGGGAGAATGCCAACTGCACTGCACTAGTTAACTTGGAAGAGTAGAAAGAGATGTGGTGGCATGGATATACAGATTTCAACTCTGTCAAATTTTACCTCTGTGTGAACAAAACCTGATCTAGAGCTGGGCTCCTCACTAGGACCAGTCTTTGAGCTATTTACACAGGACACCTGGACCACTGATGCGAAGATGCTCACGTAGGATGGAACTCAACATATGCCTTCCTTTGTGGACAAAGTCTGCCTGTGGCAAGTATCACTTTCTAAACTTTGAGCTTAGTGGTGTGGCTGACTTCACTACGGCACAAGCTCTTTCTCACCACAGTCTGGTTAAAAATACTTTATGTACTAGTCCTGTACACAGAAATGATGTGGAGCATGATGACAAAAATGTATACTTTTTAAATTTGGGAACTGGCTCTACAGAGTTTCCTTGCTGTATTTTTCTCTGAGGTATTACTTTGCCAAAGACAAATGTTTTTCTCTGTACTATTCTACCAGAGATTAGGAATAAATTTCCTCAACTGAGAATGCTGTTTATTACTCTCCTTGTGTTGAAATTTGTTCTTTTATGAAATGATGAGGATGGTTGGGGTTCCCTCTGTTTTGTTCTCATTCTTGCAAAATGACCTGGATTGCCCAGTGTGAATATACCTAACACTACAGAATTGTAACCTAAAAGAAGGTTTAAAATGGCAAATTTTATATGGATTTTATTGTGATATTTTTTTTTAAATTAACAATTTTGGAAAATAGAAGTTAACAATCCATGCTAAACTCAAGTTCTTCGCCCCCCCCCCCGCCCTGTATTCCTGGTTTACGAAATCTAAAAATCTGAGAGTCAGTGTTCTGCAGTGAACTAATAAACGGAATTTTGCTTCCAGCAGTTTATGTTAGTGGCTATAAATTTATATCTGCACATATTATGTGTGTATATTACTCTCTCTCTCTCTCTCTCTCTCTCTCTCACACACACACACACACACACACAAAATATCATAAACATGTTCCAAGTGAGATGCTGAAAAGTATAATTTTTGTCTTAAAAAGTAAGATTCCTGCTCGGTTTTGCTTCTCCTCTTTTGAGATAAAATATAAAATATGTAAATATCACAGGTGACAAAAGTAAATGAAATCTCCCCCGCTGCTAAAACTCAATCTCAAGCTGGGCTTGCCTGTGATTTGCTTGCTATTCATTTCCTGCTTCTTAATGCTCTTGACATCAGATCCTGAGAGGATGGTGAAGTATAGTCCCAGTAAACACGGGTTCCCTAGAGGCTTCTCAACTCCAAGCAGCACTATCAAATACAAGCTCTGACCTAGAGGCCTGCCGTCACCATAGCACACAACACAGAAATGTGGGTTTGAACTTCTACCTTAATCTTGTCTCCTCCCACCATGAACCAAGTTTTTAAATCACATGTGATAATTCTTTAAGAAACAGACACAGCCTGCATCTCTGCCAACGAAGTAATGGTGATTTTCTTACATTATTTGTCTTAAAACCACCCAGCCCCATATGGTTCCAGGCCACCAAGTAAAGTTCCTTGTGAGAACACTGTGAACCAAACTAATAAATTTAAGCCTTTTTTCAGAAAACTGAGAATCCAATGCAGCCAGAAGGTAGAATTTAAGTCACAAGACAATAGCTGGATTTTTTTTTTAAGGAAACAAATGAGGAAGAAAGAAAGAGAGGAAGAAAAGAAATTGGGCTCATATAGAATGTCTATAGCTTTCAAATTTACAGGAGATGCAAAGAGAATATAAAACACTACAGTTCTGAGAACATATGATTTGTGAACACTGAGATAGAGTACTTTGGGGGTTTTATCTGCTACTTTTAGTCTATTGATGAGAGTTATTCGCATTGCAATAGAAACCCTATTCAAACTACTGGCTTTATTGTATCAGAAAGTCAACCTTCCAAAGGCAACACAGACACCAGTGTGTGTCCTATGATCAGCTTGCACCTCTCATGGTGGAGAAAGGGAAAGTGCAGGTCCAAGAAAGAAGGAAGGGAATATCCAGACCCACCCCCACCTCCCAAGAAAATAAGGGATTTTGTAATTATGAAGTTCAAGCCCTAATTGCATAATGCAAGAATAAACTAGTTGAACATGCATGTTATAATGCTCTACCCTCAGAGCCTGAAAACTTAGATGCCTCAGGCAGGTAGCAAAATGAATATAGTATTTACAAATAAGGCCATGGTACATGGTGGACTATGAGACTACACTGGAGAGGATATGTCCCGATTAAGGGCATTCACATTTTCTTTTTAGACATTATCTGGACAAATATAAAATTAATGGGGCAGATATGGGTCATCTGCTAGGGATTCTACTTTGCACTTCTATTATGTGATTTTAGTTGCTGCTAATATCCCAATGTTTGATCATCGACATTCCATGGAGAAGCACAGTCAGGTGCACTACCTTCCCAACCCCTCTCTCCTTCCCTGCTGGCATGATCAGCCTCCTACTTCAGAGTTAGTAATATCCAACCTTCTTGTCACATGGTGTATAACACAAATCACAGCCAACAGGACCTGAAAGAGTTGTAGTACGGCTTCAGAGAAAGGCACTCTCCCTGATACATACAGGTGCATGGAGACCCTGCCTGCCTTCCTATCAAGCAAGGATTAGGAGCTTTGGAATAGTAAAGCTCTCAACATGAGGAGGGGCACCCAGGGGACACTGAAACCTCTGGGGATCCCTAGCAGAGCCAGAATGAGTACAGTATTTACAAATAAGGCCATAGTTCATGGCCTAGATGAATCAGCTTTCCTGGTAAAGGAAGCAATCACACTCCTTACTGTTTAAGCCACACTCATACAGGTTTGTGGCACTTGTAGCCAAAAGCAGAACCTCACATCACATGCCCACTGAATTAAATGAGAAGATGGTGTTCTGCAGGGTTCTAGCTTAAGGGTTTTGCAGCATGTGAGTGACTAAGATGTACCAAACCCAAGGCATCTAGACCTCAAACCCCATATTCTTTCCAGGGAACCAGGTGATCTCTCTCCTTTAATCTATTAATTTCTTTAACAGATATTTATTGGGTATCATTCACATGCCAGGGACACAGCAGAGAACCAAGCAGAGCCCCTGCCTTCCTAGGGCTGACTGACCACCAGAAAAATACTTGGCAATCCATACTTACTATAAGCCAGGCCCTGTTCTATGTACTTGAGGTATATAAAGGATACAGTTACAATCCCCATCTTAGTGGAAGAACCTGAGGTTGCCGGAAACCCCTACCATTCTTCCTGGGACACATACCATGGTGCCAGGCACACCCTGGCAAAGGCATAGGCAGTATAGAGCGTCTGATCAGAAAATGGCACGCAGAGATGACTGAAGACAAGAAAGGCCACACAGGAAGAGGCTAAAGAACAAGAGGTCCAGGTGAGAGTGGGGCTGGCCAGGAAAGAAGGAGTAAAGGAGAGGTG